GCTCTGGGAGAACTGCAGGGGCTATTGTGGGCCCTTCCCTACCACACCCAGCCAGGAACAGGCAAACAGGTTGTTCCACATCCCTCCCATCGCCATCGGCACCGCAAGCCCCACGCAAGGAGCCAGCTGCCCCTCCAGAAGGCAGAGCAGTAGGAAACCATCTCACAGGGTTTTGCCTTTGAGTTTCCAGAGCCGAAGGATTTAATTTTCCTTCCCCTCTCGAGCTAGATACAAGCTATTTTTTTAATCAAAATACCAAACAATGCATCAGCGAAAGAGCCAAACTGCTCCGAGCCAGAACATGCTGATTCTTGTGCAGGGGCTGAAGCAGCCCAGCCTGTCCTGCAAGGGCAGCGGGGGCTGGTGGCCAGCGGCCACGGGACCGGTTCCCTGGCTTTGCTGGTCCCCACTTCGCCAGGGCCACCAGCACCAGCTTGGCAACAGGGCTGCTTTGACGAGGAAACGGCACTGCCTCCTCGCCAGCATCGCTCCTTGCTCCTGGAGGACGGCGGGTGCAGCACCGCTGGCATCGCTCTCCGTCAGAGCCACTTGCTCTGGAGCTTCGTATCCCAAATAAAGAGCAGAAAGGGTGAAACAAGGCGGCCAGGGGCTCGGCTCTTCCGCCGCTGGACGTTGTGCTGGGCTTCTCCCTGTTGCTTTTTTTGTTAAGAGAGACCAGGAAAGGCAACGGTGCCTTCATGGGAAGTAACCAAGCCGGCAGAGAGGGAATAGCAGCTCATTAATGAGAAAAAGCAACAGACAGTAACAGGGCAAATTGTTCGAGCTCCTGAAGCCTAAGAGGGGAAAAAAAAAATCATCTGCTTTTCAATGGCGGATTAAATGCTGTTAGAGGAATCCTTTGATGCCAAGCAAGCCCCCAAAGCCAGGGAGGGGATGTGCCCACACCAGCACGTTGTCAGGGCAGGCGGAGGTGCAAAAGCACCAGGGGGGGTGTGGGGGGGTGCCCAGAGGTCCCTGCACCAGGCCCTGCTGACACAGGCCCCCCCCGCTCCTCCCGGGCTTTGCTGCTGGACAGGAGAGCTCCACCGGCTGGGGGGGGTTTTGTGGGGGGAGCGGGGTGGAGAGCATCAGCCTCGTGCACGTTGTGACCAAAGCACCGCTTCAGGGTGACATGATCTCAGCCCAGCGGTTACCAGTTCCCCTTCCAGCACTGCCCAGTTTCACACCTTCTGTTTCCCACCAGCTGCTGCTCTGACCATCATCCCCAGCGGCCCCCCCGCTTCCCGCGTCACGGCTCTGGCACATCCCGCGGCCGCTTCCCCCCGTCCCGCCACGTGCTCGAGATCCCATCGAGCCAGACTGAAGGCAGAAGCACGCTACTTAAAGTAAAGCTTCTGCAATTATTTTGCCCCCCTCTTCCCTCGTATTAACGTCTCTCGATCCAAGTTCAGACTCGGCACACGCCCCGGACAAGCCCTGAAGCCGCGGGGAGCGGCACTTGGCAGCCCAACACCTCACCCCGGCAGAGCTCTGACTCCACCAGCGCTGACACTCAAACGCAAGAAAACTTGGGGGAAGATCCATCCGCGCGTGTGCAGCGGGGAGGATGCGAGTGTGGGGAAACAATCGGCTTCTCTGCGCTGATTCATCTGTTTCCTCTTCAGAAGGGTTTCACTTATGGCAGCCCCAAAGGATGGCACCGATTTGTTGATGCTCTATTAGCGACTCATCAGCATTACAAAGATCAGCGCAGCCTCTGCTTCAACCCAGCCTGGCAAAGCTTCAGATATTTTTTATTTATTTATTGAGAGACAAGGTAAGGAAAAAAAAAGCCAAAGCTTCCCAAGGCGCTCTGACTGGGGCGAGTTCAACAGCACGTCTCCAGCAACCCCTCAGGGTGAGCAGCCCCCGCTGACACTTTGACTGGGCAGATCAGAGCCCTGGGCGACCTGCAATGCCCCGCGCTCCCCGAGAGCCACCCCTGCACTGGTACAGATGATCCATCTGTATCACGATGGACAGACCAGCAAGTCCCTAGTGCGCCACTGCTCTGGCAGCAGCTAAATCGGTGACACAGGATTAATCAGCGCAGGAGAACACGACTGCACAGACCTCCCGTTCACCAGCCCGGAGCCACCCCGCTCAGACTCACCAGCAGTCCCGGGAGGGGAAGGAAAACGCCTCCAGGACACGGGGCCGGCCACACAACAAGCTGTGCCCCTTCCTAAAACCTGCCAAGCTCACAGCTCTGCTGATGGGCAGGAAAAACCAGCCCAGGGCCACAGGCGCAGCCCCTCCGTCCCCCCCCGAGGACGGAGCATCCCTGCAGGAGCTCGCCCCAGCTCGCTGCCCGCAGCAGGGAGGCGTCTCTGGGGGATGTCACCGCTGAAGGCGAAACCCAAACGTTACACGCAGCTGCCACGTGTTAAAAACTCCAGCCAGGCAACCTGCTCTTCACAGATGCTCATTTAACAGCCCTCCACCGTTACTTACCCAAGCACAGGTTGGTGAGAACAAGCCTACTGCTACGGCAGCCTGCTTTTCGCCAGAAGGCAGCGAAAGGGCAACGCACGCTGAAGAGTCCCCTTCTGAGGCAGGCAGCGGTTTTCGAAAAGGTTTTTCTTGTGTTCCTGCACCCTCAGCAAGCCCATTCCTACACGTTCCTTCCCGCAGCTTGGGGCCGAGTCCTAAATTTTAGCACAATTTCTCTGTCTTGTAACAGAATTGCAGGTGGAACTGCAGGTCCAGAGCATCCAGTCTTTCACCAGCACAAGGTTGTTACCCACAAGCCACTAATTGCATCGTTAAGTCCAATTTTAAAAGGATCAAACACCAAGATTACCACCGCTGTCCCACCCAGGAGCTCATCTCCAGGGGCAGAGGGACCCCGCTGCAGCGACACCCATCACGCGCGAATAGCTCCTGGAGTCCAGTTCCATTTTTCCCAGGCACTGCTCCGGCAGATCCCCGACGGACATCGGGGAGCACCAGCTCTGCTGGTCCCTGATCACACCTTGAACCCTGCGAGACCTTTGACTCGTGGAATCTCCCTCTGCGTCTCCACCCTGCAGGCAGCCTCTACCCAAACCAACCCCAAATCCAATTAACAGACTAATCCCCCTCCCCAGAGGACTCGGCACAGCACAAAGCCTCCAAACCCTGCGGTCGCCAAGAGCCGGCCGAGGCTGAGGGGTTGCAGCGGGGGCAGGAGGCTGACACCCCCCCCTCCCCGCGCCACCTTGGCCCTGCCCCACCGCAGACCCCACAGACTCAGGGCACAGCGTGCTGGGTGGAGTCTGCTCTACCCCGCATCTCTCCGTGATGCTCAGCAGGGTTTTAGAAGCTCTACTGAGATGGTTTTAAACCCTTGAAGCCCAGCACTGACACCAAACAGCTCCACAGCAAATGACCGGACCACGAAGGTGCCACCGGTCCCGATTTTATTGTGCAAATTGTGTATCGGAAGGAAGTTGTTCTCTACCAGCGGCTCATTTCAGCTCAACGACAGTCAACTAATTACTGCATATCTTGCACCGTGCTTCAGTCAGAGCAGCCCTGACTAATTCGAGGATTTGAGAACAGCAACTGCTAAGCAAATCCACCTCCAGCCCCGAAGGAGTTCCCTGCAGGTGCTGCTCAGCCCCAGCACCCCAGCGCGCTCCCAGCCTGCTGGAAACTGCCTCCGGCTCCGCTCGCCAGGCACGAGCTTCCCTGGAGAAGAAAATCCCTTCCTGCGACTTTGCCATGGCCTAGTTTTCAAGGGTGACAAAAGAAACACCATTGCGAGTAGCATCCAAGGGACCTACGCAGGAGCCAAAGGGCCAAAGTCACCCGAGCACTCGCCTGCCTGAGACTGGAGCCCCTTGGAAGCGTCTGCAAACCATCCCCGGATCGAGCTCGGAGCAACCCCCCCCGAGCAGGCACGCAGCGTTCACGCTCTTCACGCCAGCTTCTCAGCTTCCCAAAAGCCACCGCAGCAACCACCGACATGAAGAGCAGCAGAAGGAGCCTCTCCCAAAGAGGAACTGGGGGCGTGGGTCTGATCCTCCCAGTGCCAGCAACGGGGCAGCAGCGCAGAGCAGGGATTTTCCAAGGTTGTTGAAAGCATAAACCTGCTAAACTGACAGGGAATTTCACAGAGCAGACTTCTGCTGCAGGGGGACAGTGGATGGCTACACCCCGTACCGGGTCAGAGCATCACTTTGGTTAAAAAACCCCGTGAAAACAGACTTTGAGCACCCCAAGCCTCAGCAGTGGGGTTCAGAGGTGCACCCCCGCCAGACACACGCACCCAAAAACTCAAGCCACGGAGCCGACTGCAGCTCAAGTACTTTATTATCGCTAGGTTTTCCATTACCACCCAGGATTATCCTGTCTGCACACAGTTGCTAAAAATCTGATGGAGAATTTACAAAAAAATGTGAAGTGCTAAGCAGCTGGTGAGCAGAGACCTAAGCTTGGAGGCAGCTCGCTGGCAGGCTAAAATGTTTTCAGCGAGATGAACGTGCAGCATCACTACCATCACAGGAACATTTTTTTTTTTAAAAAAAAAAAAAAGCCAGCACCGAGAGAACAAGCCACCCCAGGCAGCCAGCACGGCTGCGCGCAGCCAGGGACCGGCCGCCAACGGGCAGTGCTCCAGTGCCCAATTTAAGGAGCAAATCCCTGGAGTCACAAGTACTGTTGGAGAGACGACAACATGAAGACTCGGCCGGTTTCGAGCACCCGCCGAAGGAGCCACAGCAGCTCACCCGGCACGGGACAGCCTCCGAGTGTTCACCCAGCTCCCCAGAGCTCCTGCGCTGCATCGCCCAGGGGGGCAAAGCCCCTGAGCCAGGGGCAGACGTGGCTGCCTGCATCACCTTTTAAACATGGACTCTGTGTGGTTTTCTGTTCGACGCCTCCTGTCCCAGAAATAGCATCAGAAAAGCATCGACATTCAGAAAAGAAAGGGTTAAGGAGGGCGGGGGGGGGGTGTTAAAAAAATATCTCAGATTCTTTTCTGGAGGCTGGAAACAGCTGTGAGCTGCAGTCCCAACCAGAGCATCCCAGGTCCTGCCCCACGTCTGGGCTTCCCCCGCGCTGCGGCTCAGGGAGGGGGCCGCAGGGGCGCAGCGCGAAGGCACACGGCGATTCTGAACGGCCCCATCTGCTGCGGCCGCTCCCAGGGAACGAAGGAACCCAGAGCCCAGCGCTCCTTTCCGGCACTATCAGCGACCACGGCGCAGGGACCGATAAGGTCAAGGTGTTCCCAGGAAAAGCTGCACCTCCGGCGAGCACAGCCCTGATCCAAAACATTCTTCAGCCCCTGTTTACACACCCTGCTGGAAGGGGGTTGTGTCCCCAGCTGTTATCAGCTCCAGTGAACCGCAGCCAGAAATTTTATCTTAACTTTCTTCTGCACAGAGCAGCTGCCACCATAAATATCAGCAAGATCAACAAAGCAAGAGGTCTGAGGAGCAGCCGCTCATCACAGCTCTGGGCTGAGCAGGAGCTGCCAGGATCCTCCCTCGGATGCGCTCACGCCGAGAGGGGAAGGCACGGTAACTTGGAAACATTTTAAACCAGCCCCAAAATACTCGAGCCACGCTCCGAACGCACCTCGGGAGACTGCGGGAGGGCACCGAGGACACGGGCTGTCAAACCGCCGCCCTTCGGCGGGGAGGCAGGACCCCCAGAAGACACCAAAACCGGGTTTTAAGCTTGAGCAAAGTCTGGAGCTGCTCTGAAGGGGAAGCAGGGTTTGCAGGGCCCAAGCTCCCGCCCTCGCCCAGCTGAGCCACCTCTGATAAGGCTTTCCCAAGCTTTCGCTTTCAGGAGGACAAAGCTGCCCCCAAAGAGGCGGAGGACGCCCTTAGGAAGGTCTGCACAGCCCTCACAATCTCAGTTGCTGCATGCGCCACATGCAAGGCTCTCTTGTTTTATTTATTTAACAGAAACAGATTGCTATAGGCAGCTTTAATCCAAGTGATAGAATCGGTTTCCATAGACACTTGCTGCTTCCCCATCAAAATTCAGCCCCAGCCAGCAAGCTGCGCACGGCTGAGCCGGGCTGGAGCAGCCGGGGCTGGGCCAAGGCGGGGGCTGACACCGAGCACAAGGTGGCAAAACCAAAGCCTGGCCCCTCCGAAGGGCTGCTCACCCGTCGCCTTGGGAGTTATTCCAGCTCAACCTCTTCTCATTGACTGCCTCGGAGATGGCACCAACGAGCACTGTGCGCCACCTCCCAGCCCAGCGACCTGGTGAGCCAGACCCGCGGGAGGAAAATTCACCTGGGACTGCAAAGGCAGCGAGACCCAACCCCACCTCAGCCCTGCAAGAGCCTTAAGGAGAGGCTGCAGCATCCCCGGGGGGAGCTGGGAGAAGCCTCGACCCACGTTCGTGCAGCAAAACAGCGGCGAGGAGGGAGAACAGGGAACCGCGGCCAAGCGATGGGAAGACTGGGAAAGCAGCTCCCGAGGGGCTTCCCGGGGGAGGAGGAAAGGGAACAGAGGCGCCGAGCATCCCCGCTCTGATGGTCTGAGCAAACACACGCTGCCGCGTGGCAGAGGGAAGCTGCAGATCCTGCAGCAGCTCTTGCAGCAGCTCTTGCAGTGCCGGGTACCACAGAGCCCCCATCACACACAGCCCCGGCGCTGGGGACCAGGGGGACAGCCCCAGCACCGCCAACAGCCCCCCGACCCTTCTCCTCCAGAGGCCGAAGGCTCCCAGACCAGGACCTGGCGCTTTTCTCTCCTTTGCAAAGCAAGACAAAAACGCCAGCGAAGCCGCGCTCTGCAAACACTTCCTCTTTGCAAATACCACGGGCTGACGATGCCCCCAAATCCTGACACTAATAGCAGCAGGCTTTTTTTTTTTTTTTTTTTAAAGCTACATTAACAGTAAACACAAACACTTTTACCGTTCACGTGAGGCAGGACCAGCTCCACACTGAGCTCGTCATCCCCATCAACAGCAAAAATCTGGTTTCGCTCCTGTGCTCGGAGCCTGCTCCGGACTGCGACCCCGTTTGTCAGTAAATCGGTGACTTACCCAATTCTTTAGATCCTTGGCTTTCACTGGCCAACTCTCCCATCTTAACCAGAGCGTCAAAGTATCCTTTTGCTGCATATGTCATACCTAAAAGCATAAAAAAAATGCAGGTTATACTCTCTTTTAATGGCTATTTTAACTTCTGTGGCACTGAATAGATGCTAGACACTAAAATAGAGATTACTTCAAAGGGCTTAACCCCACGGGGAGGGACTAAACAACAAACAGAAGAAAAAGGAGTGCAGAAAGAAGAAAGCTCAAGCAGCAAGATTACAGGGCTATTTAGGAGAAAAAAAAAAGGTACGTGCAGGACCTGGGTGGTTTTCATTCCGGTGTAACCATCAGCCTGCTTAATGCTGCTCAGAAAAAAATCACTGTGGAATAATTGAATATCACAGACTTTCATTATAGTTCAGTCTTGTTTGTTGACATTCCAGCTACACACTCCACTTTAATCAGATAAGCAGGGGGTTTCCTCTAATCACCAGAACATGTTGTACAGCTTTAGCTCAACGCCGTCAAATTATGGTGCTGAAGCCTCTTCCAGCAGGATTTACCGATTAAGACACTTCCTTCAGATGCCCCCACAAGCTCAGCGAGCCAAAGTAAAGGATGCCCAAAGACATTGTTAAAAAAATTAGAGGAAAATCTTGGGCTTCGAAGCATATTCACAGCAGGGACGTGAGAGAAATAGAAAACAAGCGATCAGACCGGTTACCTACAAAGCGCCCAACTTAAGCTGTGATAAACCAGCACGTTATAAAAAGGATGCTACCACCCGAGTAATTAAAAGCGGCGTTATCGGTATAACATTTCAAAAGAACTAAGCAAAAACACAGCCCCAAGTGCAACCTCTTCCTCCCCCCGTCTGACCCTGCCTCTCCTCCCTTCCCGCTGCCTGTGCCCGGCTGGAGACCCGGCAGGGAAACAGCCGGCCGCAGCCCCCCCAGATCTGAACCCCGCTTCGTTAGCGTCGTTAGGAAGAGCCGGGAGATTCGGCCGCCTGGATTAAGGGCCCCAGGCCTGGGGGAGCAGAGTCCACAGCCCCTGTGCAGCGGACCAGGATGGGCAGGCACCTCCCACGTCATGGCCAGTTGATCCATTAAATCCCAATTAGAAACAAAGCCGAGGGCTGGCAAGAGAGCAGCACGGAGGGGAGCGCCCGTACCTGCGAAGGGCAGGACACCTGCGTCTTAAAAGAGCTTCCACTGAGCCGCCCAGGAGCCTCAGTCGGCTTGTGGGAAATAAAACTTGCTCCGGGCACAAAGCAGGAAGGCACAGACCTCCCCCAAAGGTCGTATTTCAAACACCCAGCCTTTAAGAACATGAGACACCAACATATATTTTTTTTCTGCTGGCTAAGATTATGACACAGCCTCTTCCCTTACAGGCGTTTCCACTGAACCAACTGAAAAATAAAATCCAAGAGACGCGCAGCGCAGCGCCGGCGGGAGCGGAGCCTTCCCCCGCAAGAGAGCCGCCGCCTCAGGGGTCGGGCAAAGCCCGCCTCAACCTCCCGTAAAACCGAGCCGAGTAGGGCCCAGGCAAAGTCATTTTAAGTCAAAACAGTCAAATTTTTTGTTTTAATCAATTCGTATTTTGCTTTTGATCATTTCAATCTACACCTCCCTGATGGCTCCCAATAGGACTCTGTTCCCAATCCAGACCCGCCACCAATAGTTTTAGATTATTTTTTTTTTCCTTCTGCTGGGCAATATGAACATTTCAATACCACATCTTCAAGCAGAACTTAAAATCCTAATTCTAAATATTTTAAAGTCACACTTAAAGCGGTTGGAGATGTGTTTGCTACCCAGTTACCCCCTCACATTTTATCACTCGAACCCTTTCCCTGGCTGCAGCCCCGCAGCAGGCAGGTGCCTTGTGTGTCCTAACGGCTCCGCACTGAGGTCCAGGAGCCATCTCCCCGGTTTCCTCCTCTCACTCCTCCCAGGAACAAAGAGCATCCCAAGGTGGTTTTCCACCTTCCCTCCCTTCCGCGGCCACGCTGCCCAGCTGGACCCTCACCAGCCCCCCGCGCTTCAGCAACACACACAGCAGCAGCGCGCTTTCACTTACTTGCTAAGGCTTTTTCATAGGTCTTCCCCATAGAAATGAAATTCCTGAGGCTGGGGTTGAACTGCTCCATGATCGTCTAGAGGAAAGAGAACATCATCACCGGGGGTTAGCGGAGGTGGTGGGGAGCTGGCCAGAGCAGCCCCTGCAGCAGCCACGCTGAGCTCCACGTTCATCCACGCGATAACGGAACAAAAAAAATCCTCTCGCACCTCTCAGCGACTCAACCCCAGCTTCCCGACATCTGCAGGAGGATGGTGGGTTTAAATGGAGGAGCTTTAAGTCTTGCAAATAACGCACAGAGGCAACGGCCCCAGCTGGCCTGGAAGGGCGACTATGCGTTACGGTTTCGGGTCAAGGCGTAAGCAGAGGGTCAGGGCAGCGCAGCCCCACGCGGACCCAAACGCTGTGATAAGGGATGTTGAACGAGCTGCCGCTCCGAGCCGTGCCTCCTCCTGCCCTCAGAGAGGGCGAGCTGGAGGCACCTTCACCTCTCAGCGTGGAGAACTGCCCCCAGGGCTCTTTCCAGCTCCATCGGCACCAGGGCAGAGCAGGGCCGGGGTGCAGCAGCGGCTGGGAAGACGCCCCAGGGATCCTGCCTTCATCCCGCAGCTTTGCTGAGGATGACCAAGCTCGGGCTGTGAACACCACGAGGCAGAGAGTGGATAACAAGGCGGCTCTGCAGCGCCCCAGCTTCGCCCCAAGAGGTAAGTGAATGCCCCGAGCCGGGACGTCATCAAACATGGCAAATGTAACCGTGCTAATACCCTGAGCGGGCACTTGAGACGGCAGGCAGCGGCCTCCAGACCAACCACAAGTTGACCCGAGTTCTGGGAGATGACGACGGGTGACGTCCCACCCTCGGAGAGCGGCGTCAGCCTGGTCCGTGACGGACAGGCAGAAAGGGCAGGAGGGGTACTCGGAACAACCCCCGCGGAGCTGAAGGCACAACCGAGGCACCATCGTCCCCACCGGGCTGAAGCCACGCGCAAGGAATTACACCTCAGTCTCAAGGCACTTGGTGTCACTTTCCACCTGCCTATAAATGCATAAATTAGGGTGTCGGTGAACACCAGAAGCGCTGTCTGACAGCTTTTCCTCCCTCGCTTTAAGGTCCTTATTTAAACATGGGGGCTGGGGGGGGAGGAATAATCGGATCACAAAGAAGAACGGCTCTTTGTATGTTTGGCACAGCAGGTACTGACCCTCCCCTGCCGGAGCTATTCAATGCCGGTGCCGATAGCATCTCTAACACCAGACACCGATTCCAGCCGAGCTGTGGCAGAGACAACAAAAATCTCCATTCTCTCCCCACGAATCCAACCCCTGGACCAAGCCCGGCTGCAGCGGAGCAGCCCCGGAGCCCACCCCAGCGCTGCCCCACCTCGGGGACAGCCCCTCACCCTGCCTCGACAGACTCCCGCCAAGGCTACCACCGGGAAATCAAGTTTAATGCCTAAATGTCCCCGCAGAGCCCGAGCGGGGATGGACGGGCGCTCCCCGGGCAGCGAGGGCTCCGCACCCCCCGTGCCCGCTGCTGGCAGCTCCAGCCCGGGGAGGGGAGGCAAGACGAGCCAGACACCTCGGGCGAATAAGCTGATTAGGCATCTGTCACCTCAGCCCAAGCTGGCCAAACGCTATAAAGCTCATTTTCTGCCTGAGGCATTTTTATCCCCAGTTCCTGCTGCCTGGCTTTTGGAGAGCGTGACAGTTTAATTTTCTTCCACGGGTGCACGCGCGCAAGGCTCTTCTCCCCGGCTCAAAACAGCCATTTTCTAAATTCAGCGAGCAGGAACCTGCGCAGGACGCCAGCTCAGAGGCCGGTGTGGAGGCAGGGCATCACCTAGGTGCTGGTATTTGTTGGCAGGAGAAATCCTTCCAATCCTCCACGGAGCACGCAGCAGCGGCCCCGCTGGAGCGCTGGGTTGGGGACCGGCTGCTCCGAGGCCGGAGCACGGGGCTGCGACGCCCCAAAGTCACCACCCCACTGCCCCAGCCGCCCTCAGGTCCGTCCCACAGCACCACACAACCCTGCGAAGGGCAGAAGACGATGGCAGGGATCTGACAGTGCAGCGAACACGCTCAGCCTGAAAGGAAAAAATTAACCTGTAGCAACAAGCCACGCCGCGAGTTGTTTTCCCTAATTGTAGGAGACAATTGCACGGGAGTTAATTAACACCGACAAGGATTGCTCCATCCTTCCCATGTCACGTTTAACTTGGGTCAAAAATCTACCTGGAGCAGGTGGAGGCGCGGGGTCGCTGCCCATGGTGGGGACAGGGACGCGGACACGTCCCCGCTGCCGGCAGAGCCGTGGCTACAGCCCCCACCACCACGCTCAAGCTCAGCCTGAGCAGTCTGAGGCTGGATATTCTCCACGCAGAAGAAATATTGGCAGAATTTCTGCGGGGAAGTGATTTTTTTAAACAGTTTGCTCGGTTAAGTGCAGTAAGTGTTTATGTGTATGTATGTATACATGTACATATAAATAAAATCATATTTGCAGCAGCGCCTGTGCAAACATATCGTCCCGAAGCACGAAGCTCAGTGAATAAATGACGGAATAGGACGCGTGGAGCGGGAGCACCGGCCGACCCCGGAGGCGTAAGGCAGCCGAGCTGCTCTCTCGACCCCGCGGGTCCTGTGGGGATGGATGTGGTGGAACAGATTCAAGGAAATCCCCTTCCAAAAGTCAGCGCTTCTTCCCCAGACTGGAGGGAACCAAAGCACGACTCAGCCCCGGCGGCTGTGGGCACTGCTCAGGGCAGGACCCTGCTCCCCGCTGGCCAACGGCCATTTTAAAGCAATAAACAGAGAAAAAAAAGTCCCCAGAAAGGCTCCCACCGACCAGCTGGAAGAAGGTGGGGGATAGAAGGGGAGAGGCAACTCTGTCGGCCAAATAAAATTCATGAAACCTGAGGAGGAAGTTTGCTGAAAGTCGATGTTTTTAAGACATTGTCTAGAGACTCCAACACAAACAGCCCGGCAGGATGAGAGCACTGAAAAGGGCTCTTCACTACAGAGATAAAAATATCTTTTCAAGCCGCCTTCTCACTCCCAGGGTGGGAAAGGAAGGTGACTCCAGAACTAACACCCCCTCGCATCCATCCCCCTCCAGGTGAGAAGCTGAAAGCTCCCAGCTGCTAAGGAAAATACTGAAAAATAAACATATTTATGGCACGGAACATGCTCAAGAGCAATCAATCGCTTCACACCCCCAAGTCAGCCAGCAAGGTGCTGGAACTGCTCCTGTGATGCTGCATCGCCGGCAGACGCACCCCCAGTCACCCCCCCATGCCAGGACTGTCCTGCCGCGGGCGGGGAGCAGCAAGGCCGACACGCAGTGAAATTCGGGGAACGAGAGCAAATCTCGCTATTCATCCAATTTTGCTCCATCAGCACCACCCACAAGTTGTTTGCCTTCCACGCGCCGCCTGGGCAGAGTTTAGAAAAAACACAGACAAAAAAAACTGGCAGCTGAAGGTTGAAAGGGCTTTGCTTTGTTCCACTGCACTGAATTCCCTGGGTAATACCACTCAGCTCTCTGGGACTGGCACGGCTTTATTCGGCTGCCAAAAATGAAACTAATGCAAAGCACGAGGTCTCCAGGACATCATCCCACTGCATGAGAAGAGGCAACAGAAAAGAAGGTCCCCGTCTGTCCCCTCTGAGCGGGCTCCGCAGCACAGCACGGCTCTGCCAGTCAGCCCTGAAGTAAAAGTTTGCATCCTCCCCAAGAACAAGCTGGAAATGGAGCTGGTTCAGGTTATATCAGGTTTCTCCTGCTTAGGAAAGACCTGCACAGCACTTCCTTCAGGGCCTTTAAAAAAAAAAATAAATTAAAACCAGGCTGTGCAGTTCATCCCAGGTCTGTCCCCACAGCCTTCCAGGTAGCTCCGAAAACCAAATACCGAGCAAAATAAAAAGCAGGCGCTGCTCTCTGGGGCAGGAGGTGGTCAGCGGCTGCTGGCGCGTCCCCGCAGGGCTGGGACGGGACCTCAGCCCGCACGGCCGCGTCGTGACTACATGACTACAGAGCCGCCCTTAGAGCCGGGCCCCACGGCCAGTCTCGCCTCCACACAGCGGCACGGCAAAGGGCCAGGCAACCGGGGATCGAGGCGAGAAGCCTCCTGGATTCGACAGAGGAATGAGCATCACCACGACACCGCGGCACACACCGTGCCCTGGGCTCCCCTCCCAGCCACCCCGGGCAGCGTGTGCCGGGGACGTCCTTGGCACAAACGATGGACTTTGTGCTAAAAAACAACTTCCATGTTTTCCTAAACCCGTTCTCTGATGCCTCTGCGCAGCAGAAAGGTGCGATGGCTCCTTGCAAGGCTGATTTGGTTCATGGTTGGAGTAGATGAGCTTAGGGGTCTTTTCCAACCTCGATCACGCCGTGATCCCGTGACGCTGCGCAGCGGCAGCCTGGGCTCAGCCCGGCACCCACGGCTTTTCTGGGTGACTCACGGGTGGCAGCAGGACATTACGTGACCATGACAAGTGCCGAAAGAGAGGGCAGTGCCACGGGACCTGCCACTACACCACGGTCACGCTGCAAAAGCGGCTCAGCTAGGAGGAAGTTCAGTTTCTAAATGGGTCAGCCCTGCTCCGGGAACACCTTCATTATTTCTGTATTAATATTTAATGCCCAAACAAACCCCAGCGCTGACTCCAGCTCGTCCAGCCCTGCGCCAGCAGAAGACAGCCCCGGAGTCCCAAGAGCCAAGTTTCTGCTGGGAGGGGAGGGGAGCCTTGCCGGACTCGTTAGCGGGGCCGATTTCAACGGCTTACGACACACCCACGGGAACGTCCCCGTCCCACCGAAGCCCCCGGTGCACCCCAGCACAGAGCAGTGGCAGCGTTTCACAACCCGAGCGGCTCCCTCCCCGGCTGCGGGTGAACCCCCTCGCCCAGCGGGAACGGCCGAGCCGCCGGGGTCCTGCCCCAAGGCCAGAGGCACGACCAGGGCTCAGCACAATCTGCTGGAGACGGAGCTCAGGAGCAAGGGCATCAGGGGGGAAAAACCCTGGAGGCCCCATCTAAAGGCAGTACCCGTCTACTAGCTGTTGTGTCAGAGGATGAAACGACCTGAGTTTCAGGGAAAAAGCTCTGAAAATCTCTGTAATCGGGGTCTGGGCTTGAAGGAAACGGGAACGGGGCCACGCACGGCGCACAGCACCCGCAGGCGAACACCTCATCAGCACCCACCAGCCGTCACCCCTGCGAGGGAGACCCGTTCCCCCAGCCCCTTCCCCACAGACCTCGCCTGGGCCAAAGGCTTCAGCTGGAAGGACTCGGCACGTTTGACACGCGCTGGCCCACGCCGTGCCCTGCCCTGCAACACGAGCAGCACAGGAGTGAAACCTTAGCCACGAGCAGACTCAACGCAACAAGGCGCCGAAGGCAAAGCCAGCAGCTGCCTCCATCCCAGGGAGCTGCGTCACCCACGGGCAGCAGCCTGGGGTACCTTCGGCAAGTTAGGAGCCACCTTCTTTATAACGCTTCTTAATCGGCAAGTTTTAACAACCCGGACCTGCACCATCTCAGCGGAGGTCGAACACCGCTGTCCCGGCCCGCAGGTGGAGGGGATGGAGGCGAGGGCAGCCCCCCCGGCGCCCCCCCAGTGCCACGCAGCGGCGCAGGACTCGGAGCCCACCCCAAAGCCCCGCGTCGGACGCGCTTGGCTGCAGAGCCAAGAATCCTGCGAAGACGCAGCTCCAGCGAAGAGCGCGTCGCCCTGCGTCAACACGCCAGCCCCGGGCCCCGCGGGCGGCAGGACGAGCCCGGCCTCCCCCTGCCACCCTCCTCACTTATTGCAGGGAACGAAACTCGGCGGCGCTTGACCCTCTCTCGGTGCTCACTGCCTGCGGGGGGGGG